ATGTGCATGTGCACAAACGCAAAAAATAAATCCTTGACTATTGTGATAAAATCATTTTTATAACTTTCCCCCCTGCTTATAGAAATAATGTATATTTATGGTAGAGAATTTGAAAATACGCACACAGAAGGACCACGTACAAAGAAGATGGGCGGAGTTATCTATACCCTTCGCTGCTCGGAGGCCACAGCCATGTGACATCTTGTTTCTCATCCTGTGTCCCTTGCATATGCGTATTTACAGTTCGGAGTGATTACGAACATGGTTTAGGGCTGTCCTCTTTTCACTGAAATTATGTTTGGGTATGTCCCATGCCATTTAACAGTCTTGGAAAATATGTCTTTATTTAAACAGCTTTTTCAAAGTACAATTCAAATTGAAGTTCACCAGGGGAATGGTGCAACCTGAAAATATGTTGCTAAAGGTGGTGTGATGTGCCATCATGTAGTATATGGCACCATTTAACATATTCCATTTTTGGACCCTCTTAAACCCCTTAAGTCAGACTCCTAGGTTTCCATACTTAGACTTCTTAATAATTGTTGAATTATTTAGAGTTAATTTGTAAGTGTATTTATATATTTTCATGTACCCCTCTGTGATAGTTAAATATTCACTTTTTTAGGTAAGGAAACTGAATAGGTAATTGTATTCTTTTTTTATTTATTTTTTATTAAGGTGTCATTTATACACACTCTTGTGAAGGTTTCACATGAAAAACATTGTGGTTACTACAGTCACCCATATTATCAAGTCCCCCCATACCCCATTGAAGTCACTGTCCATCAGTGTAGTAAGATGCCACAGAGTCACCACTTGTCTTCTCTGTGCTACACTCTTCCCTGTGCCCCCCTACACACCATGTGCACCAATCATAATGCCCCTCAATCCCCTTCTCCTTCCCCCACTCCTCCCCTTTGGTAACTGTTAGTCCATTCTTGGGTCCTGTGAGTCTGCTGCTGTTTTGTTCCTTTAGCGTTGCTTTGTTGTTATACTCCACAAATGAGTGAAATCATTTGGTACTTGTCTTTCTCTGCTTGGCTTTTTAAAAAATTTTTTATTAAGGTATCATTCATATACACTCGTACGAAGGTTTCACAAGAAAAACAATGAGGTTATTACATTCATCCTTATTATTATTACCCCCCATACCCCACTGCAGTCACTGTCCATCAGTGAGCCTGGCCTGTTTCACTGAGCATAACACCCTCCAGCTCCATCCATGTTGTTGCAAATGGTAGGATTTTTCTTCTTCTCATGGCTGAATAGTGTTCCATTGTGTATATGTCTTTATCCATTCATCTACTGACGGACACTTACGTTACTTCCGTATCTTGGGTCTTGTAAATAGTGCTGCAATAAACATAGGGGTGCATATGTGTTTTTGAATCTGAGATCTTGCTTTCTTTGGGTAAATTTCTAGGAGTGGAATTTCTGGGTCAAATGGTATTTCTGTTTTTAGTTTTTTGAGGAACCTCTGTATTGCTTTCCACAATGGTTGAACTAGCTTACATTCCCAACAGCAGTGTAGGAGGGTTCCCCTTTGTCCGCATCCTTGCCAGCATTTGTTGTTCCTAGTCTTTTCAATGTTGGCCATCCTAACTGGTGTGAGGAGATAACTCATTGTGGTTTTAATTTGCATTTCCCTAATAATTAGCCATGTGGAGCATCTTTTCATGTGCCTGTTGGCCATCTGAATTTCTTCTCTGGAGAAGTGTCTGTTCAGATCCTCCGCCCATTTTTTAATAGGGTTATTTGCTTTTTGGGTGTTGAGGCATGTGAGTTCTTTATATATTTTGGATGTTAACCTCTTGTTGAATATGTCATTTACAAATATATTCTCCCATACTGTAGGATGCCTTTTTGTTCTGCAGATGGTGTCCTTTGCTGTACAGTAATTGTATTCTTTTTAAAATATTTCACCCCATAAGGTGTTACAGGAAAAGGCAAAGACGTCATGCTTGCCCTCACTCAGCTCCTTCATGCAAATAGACCAGCTCCTCAGACCCCTGGCCACAGATGCCCAGGTTTGCCAGCTGGCACTAGTGGAGACCCTTTGTTTCATGAAGGAGTCACAGAGAGATTCAGTATAGAATTCCTTTAAGAAAGGATTTCTCAAGTTTTTTTAAAGCTATTATGATCTCTCCAAAAACCTGTTTTGTATGCAGTTTCTTAATTTCATTTTTAGGCACCTTACTTTCTCTAGGGTCAGTGATGTTGGAAGTACGCCTGATCCCAGTGTCCTGAGCCGCCCGGATGGGCTAGGAAGGGGCAAGAAAGGGTGATGAGGTACACGCCTTCGAGATGATAGCAGCAGATGAGATTTTCTAATTTTCGTTGTTGAGAAGTTCCTGTTGTCTCTTCCCTTTGTATTAGATTGTTTTACAGGAGTGGGGGTTGATTTCAAAAGCAGGGAAATACAGACAGAATCTGGCCTCAAAAAAAGTGCTTAAAACTAAATTAGGCTGCCGGCTCAAGGTAACAGACTGACTCATAAATTGGAGAACTGCTCTCATTTCCAATTCCCGTTGAAATGAACAAAGGAACCTACAAATAGGGAATCGCCCAAGCTCACACAGTTGCCTCTGGTGATGAGGATCGTGTTCCTATTACAGGTTTGGGTTGCAGACACCCCACTTGACGGGCTCTTGCTAGTTCGTTGCTCACCTCCTCCTTGCAGCCTTCGGGATGGGAGTCAGGAGGCAGGCTGGCTTTTCCTTTTCTGCAACAACTCGCGCTCTCCCCCACCCCCCGCCCCGCGCCACTTCCTGTGTTGTGTCAGTTCTGCCTGCTATATGTTCTAGTCTCTGACTTTCTTTATAAATTATGCATTTGTATAGCTTCGGCTCTGCTCAGAGTTTTTGCCTGATGCTCTGAATCTTAATGAACACTACTGGGAATTGGGTGGCTTTGCTCAGACAAACAGGGGAGTCGTGAATGTTGTGGCATCTGGCAAACCCTGGTCCTGCTTTCTGCCTATTTTCCTTTTTGCTCGGTTGTTTTTCTCCGCAGGGATAAGGAGTGAGTCATGCTCTCAATGTGGGGAGCAGAAAGCAGTGATTGGCCCGTCTAACGTATGTAATTTTCCTCGTTCTGCGTAACAGCTTGGATGCCGTAGCGTGTCAGCCTGTAAATGTAATTCGGGTTTGGTTGTACCACTTGATCAACTGGGTCTTTGAAAAAATGTGTTTTCTCATCAGTTAAAGAGGAAGAAACCAATGCAGGAATCCCTTGTGATTTTGTGTTTGAACGACAACAGGCAGTAATGCGTTTTTAGTGAGAGGTGACTGGGACCTGAGCTTGTGGGTGCTTTCAGGCAGGGCTGGTGGTAGTCTGGGTCCACAGGCCCCTATCTGCAGTTCTGAAATCTGAAAAGCTCTGAACGTTGGAAATGTTTTCATAACTCATTTGGTGGCAAACTGGATTTGAACTGGTGTGAGTCTGTTGATAGTCTTACATGGGTAGTGCATATTTGTGCCTTTCACTGTGGAGATTTTAATGGTTTTGAATACTGGGTGTTGCTCCACACGCTCTTGGGTGTGTTACGTGAGATACAGGATTTGAGCCTTATTATCCTTCCGTGAATCTGAAAAATTCCGGATTTCAAAAACGCATTTGGCACCAGAGGACTGTCTGGGGAAACTGCCCAGGCTGTTGCAGTAGTGCCAGGCCCCCACTGCCCAACCTCCCCCAGCCTCTCCCACCTCGTACCGGAGATGGAGATGATGTGAGGACCTTCGGGCTGAGCCCAGATTCACAAGGCAGCGCGCCCCGTGCCTTGCTTCTAGTATGGCTGGAGAGACCAGTCCCGGAGTCAGGACTTGAGACCTGAGGAAATCATCAGCTCCTAAGAGGTGATCTGCAACCCACCCCTCATTTTGAGGGTAAAGAAGTTGCTCAGGAGAGGCTGGAATTAACTGACGTGTCTAGGGTCACACATTTTCGGTGATTACTTAATGTTTTATAGCTTCTCAAAGTGATACTCTCTTCAAATTCAGAATTAACCTCTGGGGATATAATTGCCATCTTCAACTATATTGCATTGGAGAAGAAATGTTTTAAAGCCCAAAATGCTTATTTTATGTACTGTTATGCAGTTTTTGGCACATTAAATTTGATAGCCCTTACATTTTCTTAATGCTATAACTGTATTATTAAAAAACATAAATCTAGAATTTTTAGAATGAGGTTACTATAGAAATGAAAATAAAATACCTAAAAGACACTTCAGGGTATAGCTAAGAATTAAAAACTTACCACATATGAAATCAGGCCAACACCATTAAAATTTGCAGAGAAACACAGACGCATTTGATTGGCTTAAGGATATTTTCTGGTAATGTCCTTTGCCCAATTGTGGAACTAAATTGGTAGTGAGGTGTTGGGCCAAATCCATTGTTCTGGCCCACATGCCAGTGTACCCTTGAGACCTTTGTTCTTGTTTTCTTAAAAGGTAGAGAGCGGGGTGCGGGGGTAGTTGAGCAGGGGTAAGTCACATACTCCTTGCACGTCCTTCTTCGTGGAGCATAACCAGCTGCACTCTGTGTGTGAGGGCCGTGCTCGCCTGTTGCTCGCCTTTAAAGCAAATGGAAATCGTGCTCTAAGTGACGCTTGTTAGTCATGAAGACGGCACCAGGTGACAGGGTGCGGAGAAGTGAGGCCCTTCAGCCTCCTGGTCTCCTAGGACTAAAGAGTTTGCCCTGCTTCCGTTAGTTTCCATTTCTGTCTAAGGACTTGGAGAGCTTCCGATATAGTAATTTTTATAATTAAATCAAATTATTTTACTGAGAATTTTTAAAAGTTTATTAACCGAGAGGTAGAGGGAACATAGTTTGTCTAGAGTGTCAGCTGGTGGATGAGCTGGGGCCAACAGTGGGGATGTGGGGCAGGGAGCAGGCTAGTGGGGACAGGGTTTCAAATGTTAAGGAACATTTTTAAAAACTGGAAAAACCACATCAGTGAGTTTCTTGTTGAATACTTGTCTTTTCTCTTGTTTCTAGATGAAGACTGTCAGTGTCGCCTTAGTCTTGTGCCTGAATGTCGGCGTGGACCCTCCAGATGTGGTGAAGACCACCCCCTGCGCGCGTTTAGAATGCTGGATTGGTAAGTGCGGGTCCCTCCCCTACGATCTGTTGTGGAGGTCACTGTGTGAGGGTTCTGGGCTTGGCAGGGCTTGTCCCCCACTATCCTGGTCCACAGAGGCAGTCACTGGTTTGTGTAAATCTGAGAACTTCTTTTCTTTTTGGAGTAATAGAACCTTTAAGTTATTTTAGGTGGGTTCACCTATGATTTGTAGTGGAGGAAGTATTTCAAGGAAAATTAATAAAATATTGAATATTGGATTATGTAATTTCCTCCTTTAAATTTGCCCTGTATTTGGCTTTACACACTTTTTAAAAATTTAAATACTGGTACCTGCATGAAGGTGTCTCCCTTGTGCACAGCAGAGAGTCCTGGTTCTTTCCGAGGATGGAGGGCTCAGTCCTTTGTTCCCCCCCTCCCTGCAGGGTCTTAAACACACTGTTGAGCAGACATGGTGAGAGTGTGTAATCTTCACTTGTTTCTGGTCTTAGAAAGCATTAGGCTCTTTCCATTAAGCATGATAGTAACTGAAGTATTTTTTTAGATTCCTTTTCGGAGGAAAAGGGATTCACTTCTACTCTTAGTTGGCTGAGAGTTTTTGTCAAGAATCAATGATGAATCTCACAAAATGTTTTCTCAAATCTATTGAGACAATCACCTGGCTTTTCTTTTTTAGTCTGTTGATGTGGTGAATTATACTGATTGAATTTTGGTTGTCGAGCCAACCTTGAATTCCTGGAATAAACCTCACTTGTGTTATTTATATATTGCTGGATTTGATTGCTAGTATTTTTAAAGAAATTTTGCATCTCTGTTTATGAGGGCCATTGGTCTCTGGTTTTCTTGCAACATACTTGTCTGGTTTTGGAACCAAGATAATCATGGCCTCATTAAATGAGCTGAGAAGTATTCCCATCTTTCTGTGTTATGGAAGAGTTTGTAGTGAGTTGGTTCTCTAAATTTTGGTATAATTCTTTAAATTTTTGGTATGATTTAACAATGAAGCCATCTCAGTATGGATTTTCCTTTGTTTTCATTGTTGATTATTCAGCTTTCTCATGGTAGGATTGGGAGCAATGGCCCCCTTCCCCGTGTCCCCACCCTAAGCAAATGCAGGAGTTCCCTTTATCTGTTTTTAATAACAAATGTTACAAATTACAGGTTCCCCTGCTTACTGAACCTTCACTTTATGCCACTTAGCTTTTACAAAAGACCTACATTGATACCTGTTTTGCGAACCGAAAGACAGCCAAGGAAGATTGTCACTTTGACGAAGCAGTAATTCCTCCTTTGTGTCGTGCCACTTGGGCTTATGAGAGGCTTCCCAGGAAAGCTCTGCTTCCAGATAGTGGGGGAAGCCTGTATTCTGATTTGAACTGAAAAAAAAAAAAAAGTCGTTCTTCCCTTTTTACTCACCTGTGTCACTATTTGGGGTGTCTGAGGGTGACAGTCGCGTCTCACAGCCTCTGTGGACGCTGCCCCGGCCCCCTGCCCCTCACACCCCATAACAGAGTAGCCCCTTCCTGTGGCCACTTTTCTTAGATGCTTTCTTGGCCTTCTGCCATCTCCTGGTGACTGCAGGTTGAAAATGACTTCTTATTAACCACCACTGACTGTTCCACTTAATTTATCCCTTGTCAAAGCTGAATGTGATCGTTTGCTATTTTCTCCCTCTTTAACTACTCTTATGTTAGGTTTTTTAAAAACATTTCTTGACCTAAATCCTGGAGTGTGCTCCTAGGGATGTGGGAGCCCCCTGGGAACTGGTGAGTGGTGGGGTCTGAGCATAGAGTTGTACCTTACAGACTGAGGATCCTTGGGTTTCTCCTGGGATTCTTCCCTCCACCCCCTACCCCCCAGCCCCAAATCAAAAGAACCCTCCTTCTCACTCATAGTCTCTTTGATTAGTATTTATGGAACAGTGTTAATGAAAATGAACAGAATTCCTTACTTCCTTCCTGGTGTGAAAAATCCAGCAAATGAATAGATTTTTTATATAGTGTTTTAAAATTTTTGTGCAATTTAGGAATGTAATCTACTTTGTAAAAATTTCAGTGGATTTTGAGTTCAAAAGTCATATACCTTTCCTGAGTTGAAAAATTTGCATTTGGCCTTTAGTAAAGGGAAGACTGAGGACCTGTTCCAGGATGAATGAGACTAAATTAAGGACAGCCTGTGACGCTGAGCCAGGGCCTTGTGCCGTAAAGTACCTTAAGGACAACTGGCCAACCCGAGTGCAGCCTGAGGCTTGTGCGGTAGCAGGACACCCATGCCAGTTCTTTAACCGTGACGGCCATGTTGTGATTATGAAGGAGAAACTCTCATTTCTAGGAATTATACACTAAGGGATTCAGAGGTGATGGAGCATCATTTCATCAGCTTACTCTCAAATGAAGCAGGAAAAAAACCTGGCATCTTTTGAGAGTTTTCTTTTTCACAATAAAAAATTAAAATACAGACTGCTAGATAGCACTGCAGATGTGCTGAATCAAATCTCCAGAACCCTTTTTCCTTATTGCGTATTGCTGAAATCATGGTCACCAGGATCAGCCTCCCACGGTCCTCCTCGCGGCCGGGTCTCCGGCACCCTGTGCAGGTTGCCCATCCACGGATATGCCTTCGTCCCTTCGCCGTGCAGGCACTGAGCCCCTGGTGGGACTTGACAGCTTGTAGGGAAAATGCAAGTTCTAGGGCTGGGGTCCTCGCCTGACCCTAAACCACTTGATGCTGTAATTGGCCTGCGACGCTGCTTCCGCACCCCTCGGCAATGAGCTGTTACTGACTGAGTCACTATATAAAGAGCTCTGCCCGGCGCTCTGGGCGGAGGCTGGAATGAAGGTCGAGTACAGATCTGCAGGCTGCAGGGTGCAGTCGTGATTCTACTGCCTGACCTACCACCACGAGAATGAAGCCAGGTATAAACCCTTTTACCTCAAGAACATTCCCTTGTCATTTCCTGGTCTTACCAAGTCCATAATGAACGTGCCTGGGCTGAAACCCTCAGGGAGGGCACAGCTCCTTTGGGGCCACTGCAGTCTACCTCATCCTGGAGCAGATGCCAGTCTTGTGCAGGCCCACCTAGTGGCTTTAGGATTGTTAGGGGGGCTGTCAGCATTTTCAACAAGTGCTTTAGGGTCCTGGCTTGGCCAGCCCAAGGGATGGTGATATACCAGAGACCAAGCTGAGAGCTGGAGCCCAGCTGGGGAGCTAATGAGATGGCATTTTGTGGGAGGTCAGGTGCTTCTAGGATGCTCAGAGTAGAGGCAGCTTCCCGCCGACAGCTGAGAAAGGCCTGTCTGGTTGGGGAAGGGGACTTGGGAGCGATCACCTGCTGAGAATGACCTGATGGGAGGCGAGGAGCGGACCCAGGGCTCTGAGTGTGTGGGGAGGGTGCGCCTGGGACAGAGACCCTGCTGGTGGGCAGCAGCAGGAGGAGGGCGGTGGTGCCTCGCGTTGTCACCAGTCGAGACGCAGAGGGTGAGAGCTGGGGACCCGGTAGGTGGTAGGAGCCCGGAAGTGAGGAAGACGACGTGGCGAGGGCTATGGGGTGGCCTAGCTGCTGAGGCCAGGACGCCCGGGCTTGATGACCGGTTGGTTCTGTCTTTTTCAAGACGTGAATGTCTGGAGCCTGCTGTGGCCACTAGCAAAGGGTCCCAAGGAAGACCCCCTGCGGGGTTTGGTATGGTTAAATAATTTAGAAGTCATTGCAGGTAGAAGGCAGCTCATTGGGATTTTGTTTGGTCTAAGCATTCTGTGCTCCATCACCAGAAATCAAAAGGCTTTCCGTACATCAAGACCCCTCTGCATTCACCCCAGTTTCCCCACTTCAGCTGGTTCCTTAATTGTTCTGGGCCTGAGGGTCCTCGTCTGGAAAACGGAGCTAACAACTCATCTACCTCTTGGCTGGAGGGAGATTTACCGGGTGCACTAACGGGGCTCAGGGTGGGGACTCCTGCAGGATGGAGCAGCGACTGCAGGCCTAGGCCACCTCCCAACTCGAACACACCCTCCCCTGCCCCAGCAGGCCACCCCCCAGTGCCCAGAGGGAGCTCGAGCTGCTTCCTGCATCTGAGCCTCTGTGATTTACCGGGTGCACTAACGGGGCTCAGGGTGGGGACTCCTGCAGGATGGAGCAGCGACTGCAGGCCTAGGCCACCTCCCAACTCGAACACACCCTCCCCTGCCCCAGCAGGCCACCCCCCAGTGCCCAGAGGGAGCTTGAGCTGCTTCCTGCGTCTGAGCCTCTGGTGTGCAGCGCTGTGCGCTCACTCCCAAAGGGAGGGGAGGAGACCCCGCCTCGGGCCCCCAGCTACTCCTGCTCTGGCCCAGCGGGCAGCTGCTCCGGCCTGGCTGCAGGCTTCTAGCAGATGTCTGACAGCAGAATGCACCATGTTTCTCATTTTGTTTTAAAAAGTAGACATTAAGTCAGGTAACAAGGGTCTCAGTAGGGGGTGGTGGTGGGGGACAGATGATCGTGAGTTTTTCATCTGCAGACACAAATCCGGCTAATGGGGAAGGTCTGTGCTGGTTGAAACTGCTCTGATCTCAGGACGAGGGGTATGAGTAGCTTGGGAGGTAGATGGAGTCTTCCTTTCCAGTCTGCTCTGCTGTACCTGTGTGTTTGCTGCCTACACCCACGCGGCAGAGAGCATGCCTGAGTGCTGGTGAAGTGGTCCTCTGGTGTCACCGTGGTGATGGGCCTTTGTTGACAGAGCAATAAGCCCTGTGACCCAGAAACGCCTGCATGGCCTCGCTGACAGGCAGGCTTCTCTCCTGGCGGCTGGCGCCCGGGGAGGCTGGGTCTGGACGACGCCCAGGCCCTTACAGCTTCTGGGGAGCAAGCAAAGATGAAGAGGATCTTGAGAGCCTGCAGGCATTTTTTGGGCTCTAACACCTCATTTCCTGCCCTGACCTGCCCTTCCCTTGGGCTAAAGTGCTGTTTTATTTCATATCAGAGAAGTGACACTCCTCTCCTCTCAGAGAAGCGGGCAATTGGCTGTTTTGTTTCATGACCTGACATT